AATATATGATAATTATTTACTTTTTAGTTTAAATTATTTTATTGTTCAATTACAGTTGTCGGTATTTTCTCCCCACCCCTCCCCCCGCCGCTTCCAAACCCACTAATATATGACAATTATTTAAAAAAATTTGAAAATAAGGCAGTTCACCCAACCTAGGAGTCAGCAGACTCTTTTGGTAAAGGACCAGATAGCACACGTTTTAGGCTTCGTGGGTCACATGGTCTCTGTCACAACTATTCAACTCTTAGTACAAACACAGCCACAGACAATACAGATGGATACGCCTGTGTTCCAGTAAAGCTTTAGTTACAAAAACAAGCAGCTGGCTGTAATCGACTGACCCTTGACTTAAATGCACATGTGATCTATGTAATTTTTAAAATCTGATTGATTTCTAAAGAACAGTCAGGGCCACGCCGTCCCACAGAGAGCGGGCTGAGCCGGATGGCCATCCTCCACTGCCCACCCTGCTCGGTCACCTGTGGCATGGGTGGCCCTCCCCCCGGGGTGGAAGCAGCCACAGCTGATGGAGGTTCAGCCCTGAATTGGGGCTGGTGCCACCAAAAACACAGATGGTCGAAGCCCCATGTGAACACCTGGCCGTCGTCGCAGCGAGAACCACCCTGCCACTTCCACCTCGCGTGTCACGTTCATAAGTAGTCCAGGCAGCGGTTCCTCCCCCACGGCTGTCCCGCAGCAGCAGCCGTGCCCCTCCGGGAAGAGCTCAGCTCCCGTCTGTCTGTCCCCCCGCCCCGCCCGCAGGTGTCGGCGGGAAGAAGGGCTCCGTGGAGAAGTGCCCGCTGTGCAAGGGCCGCGGGATGCAGGTCCACATCCAGCAGATCGGGCCGGGCATGGTGCAGCAGATCCAGACCGTGTGCATCGAGTGCAAGGGCCAGGGCGAGCGCATCAACCCCAAGGACCGCTGCGAGGGCTGCGAGGGCGCCAAGGTGGTCCGGGAGAAGAAGATCATCGAGGTGCACGTCGACAAAGGTGAGGCTGCACGGGAGCGCCCCCGGGGGCCCTGCACGGCGTGTGGGTTCCGAGCGGGACACGCGGCTCATCGGGAGGGGACAACGTTCCGCAGGCATGAAGGACGGGCAGAAGATAGTGTTCCACGGGGAGGGCGACCAGGAGCCCGAGCTGGAGCCCGGGGACGTCATCATCGTGCTGGACCAGAAGGACCACAGCGTCTTTCAGAGGCGAGGCCACGACCTGATCATGAAAATGAAGATCCAGCTGTCGGAGGCCCTCTGCGGCTTCAAGAAGACGATACAAACCCTGGACGAGCGCGTCCTCATCATCACGTCCAAGTCAGGTATCGCTGGCTCCCGGCGCTTCCGTGCTCGTTGTTGTCTCTGGGCGCTCGGGCTCGGAGCTGACTGCTGCCCACGGAGCCCGGTCTCACCCTTGAGGCCGCCTTCCGTCACTGCACGCGTTAGCGACTAGATTTTCTCTAGGTTTCAAGTCCCCGTGCGTGGCTTGGGAAATTTATGGATTTTCAAATAATCTCCTAGAAAAAAATTTCACAGTGGCAGCAGGAGGAGGGAAGAGCCTCAAACAGGAATCTTGGGGGTTCTAAGACTCTACCTGGAAACTGCCAGTGTAACTAGAATTTTAAACGTAATTTTTGCGTAAGAGGAAGACCTAGCCGATGAGAGGCGTTCTTCTGTCAGGCGGTTCTTTGTGATCCATCCACACGTTCCTCCAGCCTCAGTGATGTTGACGACATGCGAGGGACAGTTTAAAAACAGAATTTTCCTGAAGAAAGACCTCTCAGCTTACCCATGCAGACATCCACAGGACTGTCTGTACTCACCTGCCAGGGCTGCAGGGAGCTACCTGAGGAACCAGAAAGGTTCTCGAGTTTGCTCAGCCCGCTAGCTCGGGCAGACATCAGTCTCCTGGCTCCCAGGAGGGGGTGAGCTCGCAAGGGCACCCACGCCCCTGCCCGGGAGGGGCTGTGGGGAGAGCAGGCACGCTGAAGCGGGGAGCGGGGGGGAGGGGGGCGCCAGGCTAGCACCTGGGCTTGAAGTTGCCTCAGAACAGCAGTTAGGGTCCCTCATCTGCGTCACAGAACACCTGCACAGGTGTGGTGGAGGCCGAGCCGCCCACGCACCCCCTCCCTGGGTGTGAGCACCTTTTCCCGTGGCCGTCTGAGACGGAAGGCTGGAGGGCGGGGGTCCGACCCTTCGGGGCTCCCTCCAGCCCCGTCTCCTAACGGAACCTTTGCCGCGGCAGGGGAGGTGGTGAAGCACGGGGACCTGAAGTGCGTGCGCAACGAGGGGATGCCCATCTACAAAGCGCCCCTGGAGAAAGGCAGCCTGATCATCCAGTTCCTGGTGAGTTCACGTGTTTGCCTTCACGGCACATAGCAGACGGCCTCCCCGGGAAGGGAGCACCCGACTCCTGCTCTCTCCCGCCTCGCCCTCTACAGGTGGTCTTTCCCGAAAAGCACTGGCTCCCTCCGGACAGGCTCTCTCAGCTGGAAGCTCTGCTGCCCCCCCGGCAGAAGGTGAGGGTCACGGACGACATGGACCAAGTGGAGCTGCAGGAGTTCGACCCCAGCGACCAGAGCTGGCGCCAGCACCGGGAGGCCCACGAGGAGGAGGACGACGGGCCGCGGGCCGGCGTGCAGTGCCAGGCAGCCTGACGGCCCGCCGCGGATGTCAGCCGGCCCAGTGGAACGGCATCGCTCTGACGGCCTGGTCGGGTGGCCTGCGCATGTGCTCAGCACTTTCCATGGCTGAGTGTCTCTCTGGGTTTTCTTTTGGTTGTAACCTGTTGTAACTTAATTTATATTTAAACGTTTTAAGTGTAAACCACCTCCAGTCTGCACACGGAATCAGTTTATTTCCCTGTTCGGGATCCTCGGCAGGCCAGGGGCCGCGCTGACACGGCGAGCGCGTCGAGGCTCCGCCTGCCTCGGCTCCCCCACAGCAGCACAGGCCGGGCCGCAGCCCTCGGTCTGCAGCTCCCCGCCCCCCCATCCCACCCCCCGGTCTGGTCTGGGTCGCCCTCCCCCCCACGCCGCGGAGGCGCCGAGGGCTGACCTCCACGCTGCGAACTGGACGTTCGAGTCTGGCTTCCTGCCGACCCTCCTCCTCGCGAGCAGAAACGCGTCTGTGGACGGGCCCTGGCTGCGGCGCCCGTCCACGCGGACTGGGCCGCGGCCGCCGGGGCTCCCGGTGCCCTGCACCCGAGTGAACGGAGTGGAGCGTCAGTGTGTCTGGTCGCCTCTCCTGGAGGCTTCCTGAACCCTGCAGGCCTCCTCCTGCTGCTGAGGACAAACCAGTGTTGTGAGTGACACACGGGCGTAACTGTCCGCCTGTGCCTCCTGCACCTCGTTCTTGGTGGTTTTGATGACTTTCTGTCGACTAGTGTTGGCATGCTTGCCCACCAAAGTGCTTCCTCGGGAAGAGGATGAAACCTCCTGTGTCCCCAGCAGCCTCGGTGCAGCCACGAAGGATGCGGGTGGTCTGCCCCTGGCACTTCCTGCACAGCTGGGGTCCGCAGGGGCACACGACGCCTGCCCGCCCAGACTCGGGGCCCCCCGCCACACAGCCACAGACGGGCGCCCTGCTCAGGACAGGTTCTTTCGCTCCTGGCAGGCGGCCCCAGTTTAAATGGGGGGTTACCTCAACTCTGAACCGTTACTCCCCTCCTTCCCACAACAGTCACGGAGAAAAACTACCTTCTAAGCTGCTGGGCTAAAGCAGAGGCCACTCGTCACCTGCACCGCTAGGTCACACAGCACCTGCGAGTGCGGCACAGCCAGGGGCCCCCCTGGGAGCCACGGGGGGCCGAGCATAGTCTGCTCAACGTGGGTGTGGGAGAGCCCATGGTGCCACTGTGATCACCGGTCAGGACAGACATAAACCCGTGCCTCCGACGGAGCCCGCGTGGAAACCCCCGTGTACAGACGGACGGAGCGCACCGGCGGGGCGTCCTCTCCCCGGGCTGGGACTTCCTCATAAACGATCGCCGGAGAGCGGTTTAGTGGGCGGCGGGCAGTTACATTCGGCTCCTCCCTTCTCACGTGAGTGGAATCTGGAGGGTGTGGCTTAAAATGTATCCCACCTGTACATTTGTCACTTTAAAATTAAAGCTGAGCTGGTATGAGAGACAAAGGGCTCTGGCGTTTTCTTTTCTGGGCCTCAGACAAACAGCGTCAAGCGCCAGCTTGCTGGCAGAACGGAGTGGAGTCTCCACCCATGGAGCTTCCCTCAGGGGCAGACGCAGCCAGCGTCTGCAGGGACAGCGGCTCTGACGGCTCTGACGAAGCAGAGTCGTGGGAAAGGGTGGCAGGGCGCGGGGCAGCCTTGTCACCGCCGAGCAGCTCCCTGAGCATCTGAGGGAGGGCCGTGCCAGGCTGGGGGTGTGGCCGGGCCTGTGTGGTCACAGGGGGGCGAGCAGGGCAAGGGGCAGGAGAGAGAAGCGGGGGCACAGGGCCTGACGTACAGGTGCGTGTCGCTACGATCAAGGAGAAGAGCAAGCTCCGGTGTCAGCTGTGCACACCTGTTCGGACGCAGCCAGTCTCCGGCCCAGGTGCCGGGGCCAAGGGGCGGGGCAGGAGTCCGCAGCAGGCGCAGGCGGGAGCCTGTGCATTGATTGTTACGGCAGCAGTGCCCGCCAGCGAGCTAGAGACTTGTCTGCGATTAGGGTAAAGCAGAGAGTGTGGCGGGGCCAGTGTTAGTACAGCAAATAGAGGGAAGTCCAGACAGGAAGGACCGAGAGACGTCCCCAGCCAGTCCGATGTCCCCTGCAGCACACCCTCCTCTTCCTCGTCACAGCTTCCGCACGACTCAACGTCCTGGGACCCCAGGGTGAGCCTGTACTTCTAAGCTGTGCCTGGATCAGTAGGTACCTGGATCTCCGTGGGAGGCCAACGCCACTCGCTGTGCGCCAGGAAAACGGCGCAGAGAAGGAGCATGTTTGAGAATCTGGTGTTCACACTAAGGACATGTTATGAGCAGCATTTCCAATAAAACATGAAAAGGTTTATATTGTATCTACAAAATTTATGTTTCTGCTATAATAAATGCTGTATTTCTTTGAAACAAGCTACAAAGATAAGGAATGTTATGTTCGATCTGTACATTCTCTCTGCAGCATCAGCGTGGAAAACCTTGACGTTTAAATCGGGCAATCGTAGATGTGAATTTCCTGATCGTCTCCGACAGACACAATTTTTGAGCCATTTCCATTGTATTTTACTCCCCAGACCTGTAAGCAAAGTAAAAAAAAAAAGTTATGCTAACGCCTTTCTTTATTCTTTATGAATGAATATCCTTACTCTATTCTCATTTCCACCCCGGCCGGTGTGGCTCAGTGGATTGAGTGCCAACCTGGGAACCAAAAGGTCGCCGGTTCGATTCCCAGTCAGGGCATCTGCCTGGGTTATGGGCCAGGTCCCCAGAAGGGTGCGAGCGAGAGGGAACCAATTGCATATGGACACTTCTCTCCCTTTCTTTCTCCTTCCCTTCCCCCCCATAAAAACAAAACCTTTACAAAATTTGTTTTTTAAAAAATTAAAACATTTCCTCGGACAGCTCCCGAAATGACAAGTGATGACTGTTCAAGCAGCAGAGACTGCTGAACAGGAGGGTCCCTCTCCCGCCGCCCCGGCCGGGCTGCACCCAGGCGAGGGCCTTTGGAGGTGGCGCGACCAACTCCATGCTCCCTGGCCTGCGCGTGCCCAGCGCTGCCCAGAGAGTGCGCACAGGACACAGGCTGCAGGATGTCCGAGCAGCAGCAGCTCGGCGCCGGGCCCGCTGGCCCTCCGGCCCCGGCAGCGCGGCGAGGACAGGAGAGCGTCTGGCGCGGGGGTCGGCCAATGCTGGCGAGCCACTTCGATGCCACCGACATCGTACCTGATCCTGGTGGTCGAAGAAGGTGTGAACACACGTTCTCGTCCCCACATCCCAGACCTTCACGCTTTTGTCCGATGAACTATTTGCAAAAGGAAACACTCGCAGTAGAAAAGCTCTCAGGCTGGTCTGAAGTCGGAAGGACTCTCGACTCAACACCCCACACTCTCGCTCCACCACATTCTGCCTGTGTCCACCCGGGCGCTGGCCAGGGCGCGGGCTCCTCGGGGCAGCAGTCCACTCCCAGAGCAGCCACCTCCCTGAGGCTGGGACCCGCCTGGCCCCCACCTGCGGCGTTCTCATCAGGAGTCTCACACCCTTTAACCCCTGAAGGCAGAATCCTCGGTGTGTAAGGAAAAACTGGGAGTTGAACTGTTCAAAAGAATCCATGTCTGTTCCAGCTAAGGGCAACTAACTCCACAACCGAAAAATAAAAACACTGCAGACAACAAAGGCTACCTGAATAAAAAACGGGTCAACCTGCTTCAAATTTTAAGGCAGTGCACACTTTCGAGGGAGGGCTAAGAATCGTAAGTACCTGGAAACAAAGTGAGTGTCGTCAGGACAAAACGCCACGTTCAGCACCCAGGACGCGTGTCCACTCAGCGTGCCGGCTAAGTTGGCGTGTTGTCTGAAAGGAGCAGGTGTCAAAGAAAACGGAGACGCCGTTAGCTCTGCAGTGAGTCACCGAGGGTCCATTATTAACTCTGCCTGTCTAATTGCTCCGAATCTACTGGCCTTAATAACAACAGTATGAGGAGATCTAAAATCCCCTTTTCAGGGAAGGAGCATCACGCACCACAGAAAGAAAGCTTCACAGCAGCATTGACCCCAAATGGGTCACTGCCGCCAAGAGCCAAGAGTAAGATCCAGGACAAGCAGGGAGCTTGGAAGCTCAAACAAAGGGGGAGCCGCACTCCAGGGGTGCAGCAGGCGGCTCTGAGGACGGGAGGCTGAGGACAGCAGCAGGCTCCAGGCAGGGCCGGCGCCTCCACAGCTCACCGCACAGACCACTTTTAACCTGACCAGGGACAGTGCAAGTGCAGTTGCTACCGCCGTTTTCACGTTCTAAAAAAGTGAGGTGAAATGACCCACAACAGAAGAACGACGCTGAGGCCTGACTGAGGTCAGCAGCTTCACTCCTGTGAACACCCCCCCGTGGGTCGGTGCAAGGATGCAGCCCCCGTGGGAAGTTCCGGGTCTTCCTTCAGCACCCCCACCTCAGCCTGGTCTGTCCCCCCTGCAGTATGTGGGGCGCTACTCCATCCGGCCACCTCACGGCTGGAGGGAGCACGGACGGAACTCGGCGACGAAGGCCTACAGAACCGAGAGCCGCCCGCCCCTCCGGGCCCACGTCCTCTGCAGCTCTCCGGCAGCTGCAGCTCTGGCTCCAGGGCTGTCAGAACCGGCGCAGAGGAGCGCTGCCACGACTCCCACGGCCGTGGCTGTGGCCCACGCTCCCCGTGCATCCGAACGCCAGGTTCGGGAGCCGGGAGCCAGAGGCGTGCTGACCGCAGCACCACGTCAGAGCGTCAGGACCCGCTCTGCCACCTCCGAGGGAGACCTGGGGCAACGGGCGTGGGACCGAGGCTGCCGGAAACACCAGGCTCCGAAGGAGAGCCGTCCACCAAAGGGGGTGCTGACTCCTGTCCATACCCGGGTCAAACCCCAACCACAAAAGGCTCCCCGACCCGGAACGGCTGCGACCAGGGCAGGGGAGGGCCAGTGGGAGTGGCCGACCCCTTGGGAACTCTTGGCCATCACCCCAGGCAGCTACAGCCCGGGGCTCTGTCTCCCCATCTTCACGCTACTCACCTGCCCCACAGAATCTACCACCAGTGAGCCCCGCAGAGGCGGGTGCCTGAGACACGGCAGCGAGTCCCTGACCCGGCCGGCAGCCCGCGCACACCTCCCTGCAGGGCCCACTGCACTCACAGACTCACAGGCGGGGGTCCTGGGGAGGAGGACGGGCTCCCCCAAGACCCGACACGAGTCTCCAACAGTGACAGTGAGAGACAAGCGTCCACAGGGGAGAGGCCTGTGTCCCAGCAGGTGACTCACACGTCGTAGATCTTGATGTAGCCGTCGTCTGAGGCAGTGACGAGCAGCTGGGAGTCCGGGGAGAAGGTCAAGGAGCGGATGGGCATGGCATGGCCTGCAGTTCACAAAGGCCCTCGTTAACCTGGTGACCGCTGTCTCCTGTCCCCTCCCGTGAGCTTCCGACCAGCTCTGTCCCTTCTAAGGACACCGAGAGGAGGGACGAGAGGAGCGTACAAACTGGACCCTGCCTCGTGTTCTGGAATCATCCATGTGACCCAGCCCCCTTCCCCTGAGCTGTTGCTCCACAGCCAATCCTTTGGGTGACAACGGCAGGGACGGAACTGAATCTCGGAGGCACCCAGGCTTCTGGGGTGGCTATCTTGCAGACTGACTGCCCATCTGCCCCTCGGCGAAGCAACGACGCTTCCCTGGGGCCCGACACCCCCGCTGGCACAAAAGGAAGCGAGGGGCCGCACCTTCCAGCGTGTGCAGCAGTTTCCCGGTCGCGATGTCGAAAATATTGATGATCCCGTCTATGGCTCCGCTGGCCAGATACTTCCCATCGGGACTCTGCACGCACAACGCGTGGAGAACGAGTGAGGCCGCACGTCACACCAGCCCCACCCAGCACGCGCACACGCACATCGCTGGCTGCAGCTCTCCCGGCCGGCAGGCCACCCCGCGGCGAGGCGGCCGCGCCCCGAGGAGGGAACCCAGCCGGCTGGGAGGGCGAACGCAGCCGAGGAGCAGGGAGCCGAGAGAGCAGGGTCTCCTTACGTATGCGATGCTGAGAATGAATTTCCCTCTCGTGTCCAAAGAGTATTCCTTCTTCCCACTTTCCACACCGAAAATGTTCACTTTCCCCACGTGAGTCCCGGTGGCCAGGTACTGGGAATCGGGAGAAAAGGCCAACGTCCAGGCATCCACTGAACAAGAAAAAAGAAACAAACAAACAAAAATGCCGTGAGAAAAGATGTGACCTTACTTTTAAAAACGTTTAAAACGCTGGTGGGCACATAAGATGGTACAGCAACTCTGAAAAACGCTCGACAGCTTCCTAAGGGACAGCGACGCCTCTCCTCAGCACCAGACCACGGCCCTGCCGGGAACCGCCCGAGAACAAGAAAACCAGGTCTGCGCCGAGGCTTCCGCGCGGGTGTGCACGGGAGCGCCACTCCGAGCCACCAACTGGGAAGTGGCCGGTGTCCCCCACAGGGAACCGAGGGGCAAAGAGTGGGGCCTCCGCCCGGGGGGACAGTCTAGACAATGAAGAGGAGCGGCCGGCTGCCCCGTGCCAGAGCAGGGGGGACCCCAGACACGTCGCGCCCGAGGAGGAATGGGCTGAGGCAGACGACACGACTCCACCTACGTGAGACTCTCCAGAAGGGCAACACTCCAGCCACAGACAGCAGAGGAGCGGCTGCCTGGGGCTGAGGGAGCAGGACGGGGTGCCGGCCGCACAGGCACCCGGCGCTACTGACACTCGCTGAGCTGCGTACGTCAGTTCAGGGTGAAATCAGAGGGGTGACACTTCACCTCCCCAAGACTGCAAATAAAGGGAGATGTACGAGAAATACTCTCACACAAAGCCACACTGTGACCAGGAATTTTGCACAGATTCACAGGGAGCAGGGCAGGGAAGAGGCACTGTCGGGAAGGCACACTGGATAGTGTTCTGGGGCAACTGCACTGGTTTCAAGGGCTCTGTCCTCGCCAGGACGGACGGGCGGCAGAGTCCCGCCCGTGGGCTCTGGGCCTACCCGTGGGCCATGGATGCTACATTAGCCTTTCTCTTCCCGGGAGCATGGACACCCCTTCAGACGCAGGCATGCAGGGCTCTGGGAGCTGGTGGGGCCAGGGCCCAGACGCAGGAATGACCCAGCTGTCCACTTGCCACCCAGGCCCTGTCCCTCGGGCCCTCAGCCCTGCCCTTTCACACCTGCCAGAACCGGTGCTGGCTGGGTCACAGGGAACGGAGAGAAAGGCTGCGTCCCGAGTCCCTTGCCTCAACCCTGGGGCTAAAGGACCAGGGACTTGGTGCACTGCTCAGCCCGCAGGGCAGTGAAGGGGAGGCCTGGGCTCTTGGCGGACAGTGGCTCCCAGCACAGACGCGCCAGCTCCATACTCCAGGGGGAGTCTTAAAATAAAAGCTTCTCACGAATTTTAATGCACACCTTCAAAGTAATGGAAAATCGTTTAGCTCTATCACAGACTTTATGAAGTGTCTGTTTCAAAAAGCAAACCAACTTACAAACGCCCGATGAACGAGGAAGACCTAGCCATGGAACGGCTCCCTTTAACATCTAGCTTTACTCCCAAAGGACGACAGCGTTTGCCCGAACAGACGCGGAGCGCTGCCTCTGAGGGGCGGCGCTCGGGCCCCGGACGCCTGGCCGTGGACTCTTACCAGGTCCTGCATCTATAGACTTGATCTGCTTGCCATTTTCCAAGTCCCAGAGGCGGATGTGAGCGTCGAGGGAGCTGGACGCAGCGATGGGCAGCGTGTGGCTGATGTCCACAGACACCACACCCAGCTGGTGTCCCTCCAGGCTCCACTGCAGGTCCAGCCTCTCATCACACCTTCGATGGGGGACAAAGAAACGGGCTCCTTCGCACACAACCGACCGTGCCCGGCGCCCGACCGTGCCTCCCAGGGTCTGAGAAGTGGGGGATCGGAGGCGTGTGAGGAGCCCCGGCACACCACGGGCGGCCACGCTGTAGCTGTGGCCTTCTTCTGAAACACTGCGGGGCTCAGCAGTGAACGACAGGAAGGCAGGCGAGAGGCCAGCCGCCCCTCCGCAGCCCCACGCTGCTGCCGCTGCTTTCTGGCAACAGCGAGCACTTTCCTGACTTCACCCGGGAGCCCGGAAGCAAACCCCCCCCCGCCCCGCCCCGAGGGCCCGACCTCCAAGGCTGCCCGTCGGGGGCGAGGGTGCTCACCATTTCCAGACCTTCACCAGGTCGTCCAGGGACCCCGTGACCACCGTCTCCGAGTTTTCTTTCTTGTTTGTCCCCCAGGCCACTGACCAGATGGCATCGTCATGGGCTAGAATGGAAAACATTTAAAAAGTCATTTAACCACGTGGTTGGAGTAAAATTTACTACACACGTAAAAGTCATTTAAAGAGTCTTAATGCAACTTCTAGACTGAATGTGCTAAATAAAACGGAGCTAAACACAGTTCCAACAATTCTCAGGCAAATCCGCCTGTCTGCCTCCTGCCTCACGAACAGCTTTTATCACAACTGCAGAGCTGCACGTGAGAATCGGAGTTTTCTGAAGGAGCCGCCTGCCCACGGCACACCTGGTGTCTGCCAGGGGGGTGGCGGTCCTGCAGCGGTCCGACGACCGGTCCACTTGGACACGCTGCCCAGCATGCGTCCGTCTGGAATGGCTACATCCACCAGACTGAAACACGCGGGGCCGGCGGGGCGCCCTCCCTGCCCACTGCGCGGAAGAGAGACCTACGCCTGCTAAGAGCGACCCGCCAGGTCGCTGGGAAGCAGCAGGCGACTCCTGCGAGCAGCGGAGGCCTGCCAGCGAGCTGTGTTGTTACGCCCGAAGGGCCAGCTCTGGCACCAGTCCTTCTGTGAGGAGTTCCTCAGTTAACCGCCACCACAGCCCGAGGAAGGAGGCACTGTGAGCGCCACCCTCCTCTTACAGACGAGGAAGCAGAGGCCTGGAGAGGCCTCGTAGCTCGCCCAAGCTCAAAAGCGAAGAAGGGCGGAGCTGGGAATCAAAGCCAATCTCCCCAGTAACTAAAGCCCCCCCGGAGCTGTGGGTGCGGAGGCTGCCCCCGTGGGCCACACGCGGGGCCTGCAGCCCTGGCAGGCGTGCAAGGGTGTCGGCGCGTGGAGGCTTTCTTCCTGCCTGGCTGCACTTCTGCGGGGACACCCCTGCCAGACGTGCACGTGAGGGCACTGCAGCAACAGCTGTGAGTCACGGCGTCACGGCTCTGACGATCCCCACCCACCCGGCGCGACCTGGATGGCACCGGCTGCATCTGCGGCTGCAGCCTGGAGGCTGGGTCAGCCCCTGGTCGCCCATCCCGGCTGGGGTGGGAGAATGCTTCGGCCTGAACTTCGGACCACCTGCACGTCAGCCGCTTACAGCGGAAGAGCGCTCATCAGCCGTCCCACACGTCCCTCCGGGCCTTTCCTACTCGCCCGCACCGTGCTAAGAGCTGAGACGCATGAGGGAGAGTCCGCTGCCCCCTTCCCAGGTGCGACGCCCTCTGTCACGGGCCAGCCACACTCCCGGCTGGGACCCGGACCTGCCCCTGCTCCCATGCCCACCGCCCCTGCTGCGGGTCCCGGCGCTCCCCACCTCACTGTCACGTCCTCCGCTGCCATTTAGGTCAAAGGTCCTCTGTGGGCTGAGTGGAGACCCCTGAAGCAAGCTCTGAGTTCAGGGCCAGGCTCCAGTTCACCCTCCCGATGAGCCGACACTCAACGCCATTTCCTTTCTTTACCTGGCAGCTGGGAAGCTCACAACTACATCCTCAGCTGGGAGCTCTCCAGCCTGTCATCCGAATGCCTTTGATTTTTGTAGTTGTTTGTTTGTTTTTAAGTGTATTTGTCCTCACCTACCTCTGCCAATTTTGCCACAAAGCGAGTACACTTGGGTGTCGCGTCAGCATAAGAATCTTAAGAGACACCAGAGACAACACCGTTTTCACGGGTGAATTTGCTCGAACAGGACAGGCTGCTTACCTTGCTCTTGTTTGAAGAGGATACTGTACTGAAAAGGAACAGGAGCCGCATTAAACCCAGGGTCAGATCTCAGAGGTCTCACACCCCCTGCCTAAAACGCTTGCTTGCCCCAGCAGACACAGTCCCCGTGTGGTGTCGCCCTCACCTCCTGCCAGCGCCTGGGCTCCTGCTCCTGCAGGATTTGGAGCCACACCAGGAATAAGTTAGTTCTAAGGAAACAGACTAATAAATGTGCTCTGGCTACCAGGAAGCTCAGAGTCCACTTTGCAACTTAATTGTTGCAGTTGTATAAAACTGTACAGCCTACAGAATAACCTGTTAACTTTGTCCCTAATCTTATTACAAAGATGTGTCTCTCCTTTCCCGATCTTTGTTTTTGGGTACAAATTCACTTAAGTTCCTCAATTCCTCCATAACCTGGTGAGACTCGGATAACATAATCCCCCTCCAGGTGTGTGCACCCCTCAGGTGCCACCGCCCCCGCCCTTCAGAGGCAGGGCGGGCCTGCAGCCTCGTTTCCCCACCGCAGCTGCACACCTGCCTACAGACCCACTGGTGTCCTCTCCTCACCCCGGCCTTACCTGGTTGGTCATTTCCTTAGCCAAGGATGAAGGGCTGAAGGCCAGACAGCTCTGTGGAAACAACACCAGGGTTTCAGTTGGGGGGTGTCACCAGGACAGAGGGGGCGACAGGAGGTTCCCCTTGACTAAGAAAATCAGGCAAACCTTTGCCAGGGGTTTGCCTTGACCCTTTCCTATGGGTCAGTCCCAGGAGTTCCCGTCACAAGCCCCTTGGAGCCCAGGGACTTGACTAACACCTTCCCCCTCCCATGTTTTCTTCTCCCCAACTCTGACCACAGAGGGTCCAGTCTCTGTTCCTTCCTGATCATCAGAGAACTAAAACCAAAGGGCCTTTTACTCTTCTACTGCTCCCAGGGGGAATATCCGGTTAGGTCCTGCAAGCTTCTGGCAACATTTTCGTTAATCAATCAATACGTAGCTTTGCTGTGTGTGTGTTTCCATGTAAAGACATCTTACTTACTATGCAGTGGTAATTCCTTCATATTGAGCTCCTGGCCAGCAGTACTCTGCATGCCCAAATGAAGCTCACCTCACACACACATTTCCTCTGCAGGGCACAGCATGGCCTTCCTGCAGGTAGGAACACTATGACAGCACTGTGGCGCTGTGCTTGGAGGCTAGAGTAAACAGTGAACACCAACCAAAAGCACAAAAATGCACAGGTCATGGTGCTACAAAGACCGGAAAGGGCACCTGTTTACAGTGTGAGCTGAACAAGGCAGAATGTGAGCGCCTCCTTGTTCATCTGTGTTGTGTGTACAACAGGTGACCTGAACTTCTCACCACCTCACACACATCCTCAGAAGACCGCAAAAGCACTCTAAGTACTGATTTGGGCGCTACCAATAAATTTTCGCTCATAGGCAAGTTTGACACTGACCCTGAATATATAGATGCTGTATAAATAATACAAAATGCACTTAAATACATATGCTGAAAATAATAAGGGTCAACTGTATGCTGAAATAAGATTTTATCAAAAACAAACTTGTGAGCCCTGGCTGGTGTGGCTCAGTGGATTCAGCGTGGGCCTGTGATGCAAAGGGTCTCGGGTCTGGTTCCCAGTCAGGGCACATGCCTGGGCTGCAGTCCAGGTCCCCGGTGGGGGGTGTGTGAGAGGCAACCACACACTGATGTTTCTCTCCCTCTCTTTCTCCCTCCTTTCCCCTCCCTCTAAAAATAAAGAAACATTAAAGAAAAAACATGCGAGAGTGTAACATGTCACTTTTTAGTAATACCTTATGTAACAATACCCAGCAGCAAGCCCAGTAACTACCATAATTTCAAAGTTGTGATGCACTTACACAGTATCCTCAAATATGAAGATACTTGTGATTTCTACTTGCAACAAAGTGGCACTGTTAATATTGTGATTTGGTGCCTACATTGATCATTGCAGAAAATGCTAAATTTCAATCAGAGGCTAGAGAACATAAGGATGTAATTTTCCCTCTCACCCATGTTCATGGCCCCCTCCATTCTATTCATGAGCAAAAGAGATCACACAGCTAAGGCATCCAGGTTCAGGTTACTTGCTTTAACTTTGCCAAATCCAACAGGCTACTGTGAAGTTTCTCCAAGAATACAGAAAAGAAAAAACAAAAAACCCAAACGATGTCTGAATAACCCTTGCCTGTCAAGATCACATCCAAGCTGGTGGTGCTCAATTGCTCTGCGATCCAAGAGCCGGTGCTGCCCAGGGTAGGACAGACAGCTTTGCCAAAGTGACTGGCACTCAACCTCTGCTCAGGCACCAGCCCTCTCCCCTTCCAATCCCCCTCTCATACGCAGCAACAGAGGGAAACAGGAAAGGGTAGGGGGCTTGCAGGAAGCCGGCCTCCCAGAGGCAGCCTCCTCACACAATGGCGTGATTCCACCAAGGGGTCACATCTGAAAATGTATTGAGTCGGGCCCATACACTTGGATTAGCTCACTGAACCCTCGTTTTCAGTAAGAAAACCCAGTCGGTAGGTTTTCCTATTATCATCTTCCTGACACGGGAAGTGAGGCTGACAGCGGTGAAGGATGCTTCCCCAAAGTCGCTCTGACGGTAGGTGATACAAGCTATGTTAGAGGCCACCAAGCTCCATCACCTCCTACACCAGTCTCTGGTAACAAGAACTTCAGAGCCCAGGGGACCCCAAAGCCCGCTTTTGCCCCTTTCTCTCTTTGAGGCAATTTTGTCACAATTCCTTAAGCGGAATTCGCGCTCGCTCCTCTGCGTCTCCAAACGGCACCCCTTGTGCCTGGGTGGGAGCGCTCTGGCATGAATGACCCACGACACCACACGGGACTTGAAGCACGGAGAACCCGGCTGAGCTTGGACTTGTCCGGTGATGGGGCGCTCGCTACCTAGGGACACAGCGTGGCCCTTCTCAGGAGAAGTTCGGTTGGGACGGTCCTTCCATCTCCGGGGACAGGGACCTATCCCGCAGAGACACCAGCCCCCATCTTCAGGCTGCACCGAACATTCCCAGGATGCACCCCGAGAGGCAGCAGGGTAAATGTCACAGAAGCCACCTCGGGCCCGCGCCGGGAGCAGCTTCGAGCTCACCCTGGCTCATCCGCTCTCCCGCCTGGGCCATCAGTGGCCCGGACGACGAGTACCCCTACCAGCCCGGAAGCCACACTCACCGACTCAAAGCCCGGTCGCACAGCCCAGGCGCACGTCTGACGCACTCGGCGCGACAGCGACGCACGGTGATGAACTCACGAGGGGGGTGGGGCATCTCTCCCGCTTCCTGGGCGCCGGCGCGCGCCGCAGCGCCCCCTGCCGACGCCCTGCCATCTTGGAGGGGGGAGTGGGTGGGGACAGGCGGGGAGACCACGCCCCGCCCCGCCCATTTCCCCGAGAGGCGGAGCCGCGGGAACTGCTCCCAAGGTGCAGGTTCAGGTTCTTGCGGTCGCAGGTGCGGGTTCGGGTTTCTCCGTTTCTTTTCTGCTATCGGACTAAACCTGAGGACTTCCCGGGTTCTGATGTTTAAGAATTTTCAGAGAAATAGAACCTTGTTCTAAAAAATGCAAGTCACAAGCTTAGTGTGGCAGATTCCAAAGCACACCGGTTACCTTTATGCCTTTTAATTTTACCTGTTGTCAGAAAACTTGAGGCTTTCACCCTCTGTTCGCTTGCTTCCAAATCTGCTACTGTTAATTTCCAGTTGGAGCAAATTGTTTTGGGTATTAAGTCAGTTTTTGTCAACCAAGAGTTCAACTATGCAGCTCCCCCAAAAGAAATAGACTATATTTAAAAAAATAGATGTGAGTGTATCATGAATAGTAACGACATGTCATGTTTGTTTTTTTAAAAGACCTCTTTCATATCTACATATATGGAAAAATGTCAGGGGACCCCCAAAACAGTGACCACACATACATGTTGTTAAATTATTTATACATACATGCGGTACATTATTTCTAAATCATGTGTATGTGCTACTCTGCTAACACACTTTATATGTGATAAAGCAAATACAAAAGAGTTTTAAAAGGGTGAGATAATGAAGATAATCAGAGGGTCTAATATTTTCTTCCCATGCCCCAGCAGATGGGCTTTCCACCGACTGTAGTACACAACCCCACTCGGGAGACCCAGGCATCTCCACAGTTTTGTGTTGGCTTTAAACATCTGGAGAGCTAGGACAGCGAAGGTACAGACACAGGGTGCCGTGATTATAACCTCAGCATAGGGGTTCACCGTGTTTCACACAGAGAAGAAAGCTGACGCTAGGGGGCGCAGTGACTTCTCCAGGGTCACTCAGCCAGCAGGTAGCATGAGGATGGGAACTCGGGCCCCACTGGGAGATGGACGGCTATTAGTTTTTTCATTCCCCATCCCACAGGGTTAGGAGATGGGAAGGTGGGGAACAGGTCACAGGAAGGAAAGGGGGGCAGAGGCAGGAGTTGGGTTCAAATTCAAACACTCAGGGTGCCCTTCGCGTCTTCTTCCAGCGGCTCCAGGGGTGCTGAGCCAGAGAAGCACCTGGAACCGGCTCTCTGCTTGGACAGTCTAAGCAATGCAGCCACCAGCCGAGGGCTTTACTCCTGGTGGCCACACGGTGGCAGTCTCCGCCTGCTCTTGGCCACTTGGCGGGGGGCTTGCTGAAGGAGATGGGGAGTAGCAGGTACCTGTGGCCCTCCTCACCACCTCCAGACCTGAGGCTGGGACCAGATGCTGCTGAGTCATTATGGGGCCCCCACTGAAGGCCTCCCAGGCCTCAATTTCCTCATCCAGAAAATGGGGGCCGAAACACCCAGAAAATGGGCAGGAGTCGCCCTATGCTGGGAGACTAAGTCACAAGCCCAGAGGAGTGAAAGGGCAGCTGAAGGACTGGGCTCTGCGCATCAGAAAGGCAGGGGCTGGTCATGCCCAGCAGCACCCAGAATTCTGCTGCAGCCAGGCCCACCATGACTTTGCCGGCCTCTTGGTCATTTACCTGCTGACCCAAGAAGCAGCCAAGTTAGGCAGGTGAGCCAGAAGGCCCAGTGTGGTGGGCCTGCCAGGGGGAGGCTGCGGCCTGGGAGGGTGGCAGAATTGGGTGTGGAAGGGGTGAGCCGGCACCACAGTCTGCAGAGAAGGAGACAAGACAGGCTGGTGGGTGAGGGTGTGGGGAAGGTGGGGGGTGCCCACTTGGATGGAGGAGTACGGTGAGGAGGAGCAGGGCTCCAGGGATGTGCTGGCCAAGGTTTAACGGCAGGCTCCTGGGAGAGGAGCCAACCCTGGTTCGCAGCACCTGCCAGCGGCTGTGGTGGTCACACGGCTCCTGTGGGCGGTTTCAAGTGACTGACGTGCTGTAGCTGACCCATATGAAGAAACCGCTGCAATAAGGAGGTGTTGGCTGGTGTAGCTCAGTGGATTGGGCGTGGACCTGTGAACCAAAGGGTCGCTGGTTTGATTCCCAGTCAGGGCACATGCCTGGGTTTCGGGCCAGGTACCCATTTGGGAATGCGGGAGAGGCAACCACACATTGATGTTTCCCTCTCTCTTTCCCTTCCTCTCTCTCTCTAAACAAGAATAAATAAAATTAAAAAACAAAGAAGGTGCACACCTTCTTTGGGTGTCATGCTGGACCCCAGAGTACATGGGGTGTCTGTACCTCGTAGTGTCCACCCCATAGGCCATCCGACGAGGTGCCCTCTGGGGCAGAGCCAGTGTGTGTTGAGGCCCCCGATGCCCACTCCTGTCCACGGCCTCCTGCCCCTCTAGTACGGATCCTTGGGATTTTGGGGAGTAGCCACCCATGACTCCAGGGCTGCTGGCACTCCCCCAAACCCCACCATGTCCCATTTGCTCTGTCACCTTCTGGGTCTTCAGCAAGGAAGGAGGCCAGGCTGGGTTCCAGGGAAGGTCGGGGTGTGAGAGGACAGACTGCAGGTGGGGGACCTGGCCGTCCAGAGTCTGGGGAAGCCCAGCTGCATGTGAGAGCCCTACTCGAAAGGGTGGGAGGGGGGTCAGGAGTCCTGGGTGCCAGCCAACTCATGAACCTGCAGTCACTTGGAGCCCATCGAGCTGTCCCTGGGACCCAGTTTCCCAGATCACTCACACACTCACACACTCACACACACACACTGGAGACACACGCCCTCAACAATGGCAAGCTCTCAGCCCAGAGGGTACTGAGCTCCGGCCTCGCAGGGGATAATTCTGTCCTCACAGAAGATGAGGGCTCCCTGGGCCAGGCCTCTGAGGACAAAGTCCCCCTCTGCAGTAGCTGCCTCCACAGATCCCCTGTCAATGAACGTGGCAGCTCAGTGTCCAGGGGCAAGTGGTGCCTGAGAGGCACAATGCGTCCCCGTCAGAAATGAGCGATGGGATTCGCCGTGGGGCCGCGGTCATGCCTCCCGCTCCACCCCCTCGCCCGAGAGACCTGCTTTGTCATCGGGTCCCCGCGCTTGCAAGCGGCAGTGCCCGGCCACCCCTGGCCAGCAGGTGGCCACGGGGGACTCACTGGAGGCCCATTATCGGTGCTGGTTGTGAGGGGTGATGCGGGGGCAGGCCCAGCTGCACACACATCAGACCCTTTGTCTCCGGGCCACTGGGGAAGATGAATGAGGGCCGTGCCCAGGCCCCTGCTGCCTGGGGGGCATCCGGGCCGGGACGGACACAGGCTGGGTGTGGGCTGGAAACTGGACAGAACCAGATCAGACGGGCTTACCCAGAGACAGCCGGACGAGGAAGCAGGGCAGAGGAGCCCGGGGAAGCTGTGCGAGTCAGGCGGGGACTCTGCTGGCCCCGGGCTAGTGCCAGCCCCACGAGGGCTGGCGCCTGGTCTTACGGAGCTGGGGTTCCGCTGGCATTGTGTCCGGGCAGATGGAGTTCTGAGGGCCACCGGGAAACTGAGGCCTGAGGAAGCCGGGGACTTGCCCAAGGTCCCTTCAGGAATCAGCCACCGGGTCTGGACAAGAGCAATGTGAGGAGCTCCCACAGACACCCCCCCCACCCCCTTCGAAGTAGATCCAGCGACACAGTCCCTGGAGCGAGTTTGCCCACAGGACGGTCTCGGGTGGGAGGCAGGGAGAAGAGACCCAGGCCAACTACGCTGTGGAGAACCGCTGTGGAACCCAAAGCCACCTCTGCCCAGGAGCAGGCAGAACCCCGGCCTGGACCGCAGAGGCCTGGGGGGAGGAAACAGCTCGATGATGAATGACCTCTTCCCCTCCCCTCCAGAGCCCGGACTCCGTGTCCAGGGGCCCTTCCTAAACTGCACACAAGGAATGTGGCCTGAGCTGTGAGCCTGCGTCAAAGGGGAGGTCGGCCTTACAGGCAGTCGGCCTCACTTTTCCAAGTGGGCCCAGCAGAGGGACAGCAGGACTGGGCCGTTTCCAGGTTAACCCTCCTGGCATCTCCGAGGTGGGCAGGACGGCAGTTCCCGCCCCTTGTCTTACCTAGGCTCACCCCCCACCGAGGGGGGGTGGGGAGGAGGATGCTGAGGGTCCTGGAGACGGGCCACATGGGCCCCAGGGTGGTTTTGAAGTGGCCTGGACCAGGAGAGAATTTCCCAAACCAGTGTTCCCTCTCGTACCTGACAGCCCTGCCCCCGACCCCCACATGGAGGGTGATGCCCCAGGACGGCCGTGTCTGCTGTCTGGGAGATGGATGTGTGAGGGCAGGGCGGGGGATGCATGGGTCCTTGTTAATGAGTCGGGGAGTCCCACTCCCCGCTCCTCCTCCTGAGGGCCCGTGGGGCAGAGGCTCTAGTGGCCGTTGGGCCTGCCATCCCACTGCAATGCTTCATGGACGTGCCTCAGAATGACAGCAGCCAGGAACACCCCACCTCCCTGGGGAGACCCAGTCTCCCTGTCTCTGGGGCGCCGACACCAG